CAGACTTGTGGAAAGTATAATCCCTGCCTATAGGGTGAAAAAGAGTGACAAGCTGTGACATCTGCAGGGGTCTCAGAGTAGAGCTGCTGCTGCTCCTGCATGTTAAAAGCTGCTGAGATGATTCAGGCATCTGGTTAGGATCTCGCCTGGGCGCCTCCCTTTGGTGGTTTTCTGGGCATGGAAGGAGACTCTAAGGTAGACTCAGAACCCACTGGAGAGATTTATATCTTGTGCAATCGCCCAAGAACTGAAAAGTGTGGCTGGGAAGAATCACATCTGGAATGCCCTGCTTACCCTGCTGCCACCACAATCTGAATTTGGATTACCGGAAGACAATGAATGAATTGGCTTTATATTACTAATAACATTATTTGCACATTTCCATGCCTACCTACAGACATTGGCCTGTGTGTTGTTTGGTACCTAAGTGTTTATTATGGAAATTATTTTGTTTCTTTACCTGAGAAGCACTTTGAAGTCATTCTCAAACTCAAAGCTGTTGTTGAGCAGCTTTAAAGCTCCCTTCTGCTCCAGCTCATTCTTATAGCGATCCCTAAAGCGAAGCTGGACGTCATTTATAAACTTGTCCACATATGTCAGCGTCAGGATCTTTTGAAAACCCACCTAGAGATGCACAGGTGAAACGAGAAAAAGGCAATGATCATAAACACATATAAAACACAAACACTTATCCCCACCTGATTTTTTTTAATTCATTCAATACTTATATGAACGACTTACCACAAAAATCAACTCAAACTCGTTGTCGAGCTTGTATTTAAGACTCAAGCCCCCATGACTAAACGAACTGTTCCCACTTCGCTCCTGAAAAAAAAAAGAACATCAACAGCATGTAAACGGGAGCTTTTGCTACTGCAGCTATCGCTGTGTGTGTTTTCAACCACCTAAATTACGTCACTATAGCACAGGAAATATTAAACTTATATATAAATGAGTGGTATGCGGGGGGGCACACAGCCCAGAAGAAGCTTATTTAGTTGATCGCTACGCCATAAGCTAGTGCTAGCATGAGCTACCCGCTAGTGCTAGCATTAGCTGGCTCCTTGTTACAGAGAGCTGGATAAAAAGACAATAGCCACAAGCAGCTAGCCGTGAGGCTCACCTGAAGGATCACCGAGCGGATCAAAGCGTTGACCGGCCCCGTGAAGGATTCAGTGACACCGGCTCCCTGAAAACACCACAACACTATCCCCCCTTTGCTGAAGATGGTGAAGAAGTCTAGCATCTTCTAAGCACGTACCTGGTTTAAATAAAAACACAGACAGATATGTGGATAAAAGCGAAAGAGAGCCCTGGGCTTATAAAATACAGTGTCGTTTTAACGGCTCCTGCCTGCCATTCAGAACACGAACTCTTACCGGATAATACTTAAACTGATAATAAATGCCCCAGGAGTGAAACCCACTACCAGTGAAAAAACTGTTTTAGACACGTCAGAGGCACGATCAGGAAGTGATGTTGACTTCCGGCATTTTTTTTTTTTGCTGAGGTTTGCGCTTGCGCAGTGTTCATTTCAATGAACCGGTAGTGTTTTCCTGTCTATTTTACCAGTACCAATGCCAATATTTTTACCAGTTACCTGTAAAAATAATTTGTATTGGGCCTGTCTCTTTAGGTCAACTTCTGTTGTTTAAATGTGTTATAGGCTATAAAAATAACTAAATAAATACATTAATGAATAAATTAATACATGATTTATTCATTAATGTGATTTTATCATAATAGGCTAATAATAATAATAATAATAATAATAATAATAATAA